TCCTCAGTGACTTTCATCCTCAGGAGTTTTTGTGTCTCTTCATCTGCAGACCTGAATGATTTGGACGTTTGTTGGACACAGACAGAAAGAGGCCAGTTACATCTTATCAAGTCTTACTGGTCAGTTCCTGGGGTTAAATGCCTCAGTGTTAAGTATCTGAATGCAAGACAAGTTCAGGTCAGGGTGACTTAATCCCTCTACAGCGAATTTATTTATGTTATGGTCTCAAATGAACACATTGCTCATTTTTAAGATCCTCTATTATAGTGTCCATGTTCATATTTCTAATATTTTGAGCACTTTTTCTGTGCATTATAGATGTTGTATGCATTTGTATCAAAATCTGAGATCACAACCCTTTTATAAAACTTTTTTCATTTGTGTAAGACGCTGATGATTTGTATTTTCGGTTTTTTCCCCTCCCTCAGGTATCATGAGGCTTTACCTTGAGATGTATTTCTGTTTGTTTGATTTCATGACGTACAAATTATAATAGACAAACCGAGTTATTTTGTATTATATCAGATCACAATCAACAAGTGTGCATGAACAATTCCAGGTGATGTCTTGGAGTCTGACCCATGCCTTAGATATATGAGATGGAGTAGTGACTGTTCACTTGTTCACACACGACAAAACAGTTTCCATGATGCCTGAGCTTTAGTTTCTCTGACGCAGCTGCTAATTTCACTGTTATCTGATATCTCGACCATTGTGTGTATGCAAAGTTAGAACAGCTCTGGAGAGCAAAGATGTAAATCATATTTATTCAACAAATAAAAAAACGTGTTCTCTCAAACTGTGGTTGATTGTAAATGATACTCACCTCCCTGGAGTTTGTTGTTTCCAGTTCCTTTACACGTCTCAGACTCCCACCCTCACAGTCCAGGGCCAAGGTCCCACATCCTCACACTTCATGGTTTGTTATCCCTTATTCTCTTCTCACTTCCTTCTTCTAGTTTCTCCTTCGTTGCTTATTCATTGTTCCGTCCCTGTTGTTTCTCTCTTTTTAATCCTGCATTGTCCTCCGCCGCCTCCTTCACTTGATATAATCCTGTCTGTGAGCACTCTCCTTTGCGTACTCATGCACCCCCCAGCTGTAAATTCTGTGTCAATCTTCCATGTGCAGATGAGATTGGGTTTTGGAGGGAGGGAGAGGAGAGAAAAGAAGAGGAGATGAGACTACAGAGGGGCTGCCACTTTATCTGTGCACTCTCTGCATGTGTAGGTGTTGAATAATGCCTGATGTGCCCGTGTGAGCGAGTGAAAACTCAATTGAGTCATGATTTCTACTTTCCCTTTGAGGAGATGGTGCTGTAACAGGTGGAAGACAAAGAAAATATGACATTTTGGAAATGAAGGGATTTGAGGAGCCAACATCATTTAAAACAGTGATGATGATAATACAGGAATATTACTGAAGCTTGAACGTCCACACAGTGAAAACTAGAGTCCCACAGCTCTGAAGGCTGCACCAACAATGTCATATAGTGCTGAAGTGTTATATTTACAATATAATGCAAGAACGTTCAGTTGCTAAATTGAGAATAAGCATAGACACAACCTGGAAAGATTGTTTGTGATCCATTTCCAATCAAGTTTTGATTGTCAGGTCAGCTAATTGGGATT